CCAAGCACGTATCAGAGAGAAGAACTAATTCCTCCCCCAGGGGCGGGCCTGGTGCTAAGGCAAATGCTAGGAACAGAAATCGGGTACTGACGATACACAGAGACAGATAACCCCCAAGAGACTGATGGAACTCTCTTCCCAGTTTTCACACCACTGCCAAAATGACAGCTGCCACACAGCACCTGACATCAGGCGCTGTAGCTCAAATTAGCCTGACTCGGTCGACTCCAGAAGACTGCTATCAAGCTCCATCCCCTCCGAAGCACCTGCTGTCGACCCGGCCCTCTCAGAAAGGACACATGGGCGACAAGCGTCGTGGATAAAACTGCTAACCTCAGCCCTCAAGGAGCTTACCATCAGTTCCCCAACCGACCTCAGGCTGTCCTTCCAAATTACCCTTCTGGAAGCCAGCCCTGGCCTCCATCACAGGATCTCAGAAATGCCTCTCATCTCCACGTAGCGCATCTGGATTGCTCAGTAATGGCCAAAAATGGCAATGTCCTTATCGTACTTCATCAAAAAACACGAGCAAGCAAACTGCAAAAGGGGTTGTAAATTAAAAATTCAAGAGAAGAGGCTTTTCTTTTTTCTTTCATTCATTCAGTGAATTTTAACGGAATGCTTGCTGTGTGCCAGGCGCCTTGCTAGGTGCTGGGGACGCCCAGCAGGGAACAGGACAGACGCGGCGCCTCCTCAGGGACGTGGAAGAGGCTCAATCTAAAACAACCCCACCCCCGTTAGCTCCAAGATGAGGACACATGAGGAACACCTTCAAGGATGGATCTGAGCGAGGCAAACGTAACAGCAGCTTCAAGCCATTTAATTTAACTAAATGCTGGTAGGAATGGTCAGGGAGGCAGGATGGAGGAAAAGCCTTCAGACTTGCCAGCGGAATGTTCTCGGAATAGAAAGCAGCTCTTGCTCTAATAAAAATGAGAAACGAAGCAGGTGGAAACCTCGAAGGCAGCAGCAGCACCTTCCTTGGCGCCCATTTCCCAACCCCGCCCCCCCCCCCCCCACACACACACACCAAAAGTGACCCTTCAGGGTCTTCTCTGCTTCTGCTGTCACCTGGGAAAGGCTGCGACCTTAGCCAGGGTTTCAGGCAAATGCACAAGCAGCCTCTGCCACAAACAAACGAAAAAAGTCAGAGTCAGAAAGAACAGCCTGGTGACAGGAGGCTGGAAACCTCCGGGGAGGGGTCTCCGGAAGAAGCGTGGTGTAACCCGCAGCATATCTGAGCATAATCGGCCACAGAACGTCCACGTGGACCACCTTACGGCAAGGACAGCGTGGAGGCCAATTATTTTGTGCCCTCCTCAAGAGAGCCTGTCATCCCTCTACAGAACAATCATCTATAGGTGCATGATAGTTAAAAGCTGAAGTCTGTCCCCAGTTCAGCACGGAGAAAGTGCTGCTCACAGCAATTTGCCATCATTTCATTAGATTAGATTAATTTTTAAATGTGTTATCCTAACAATTATGCCAACTACCATGTAATTAATATTCCAACTGACTTTACGAAAATTACAAAATCCCCTAAAGAAAATCATTAGTCATTAAGCATGAACGCGACCTCTCTATGGCCAACAGCACATACAACAGAAAGTTCGTCACATAACGGGTGGTATTAAAGCCCTTCCCACACTTCCTTCAATTCTCAGCCAACAGCGTGCAAAGCTGACGTTGGCAAGTCACCCCAAACTTCACTTAACATATTAACGCGCTTCCTGGTTTAAACTCTTTGAGGGTAAAATGATGAATGAGGAAGGCTTCAGCGACGAAAAGGCTCTTTTCGTTTGTAGGAGGGGCAAAATAAACACACGTGATTGCTTGCTGCCTCCATATCCCCAGCTGGAAATTAGAATACTGGCTTATTTCTTGGGGCTGCTTCCTGAGTTTATTAAAGAGATGTACACAAGGCATCCTTACCGTCGTTTCTCTCTTTCAAGGCTTCGTGTATTCTTGCAATCTACTTTAAATCCTTTCTAGAGTAAGGTAAGGTATAAATAAGTCATAGTCAAATGGGACATTATCTATCACGATGGAAGTAAGAAACCTGTTTTCCCTGCAGCCCACCTTGGAATAATCGGCAGGGGCCCCTGAGTCCCAGAACAGAGCTGTGAGCCCCTGCATGACCTCAGCAGGAAGGAATGCAGAGGGTGATTAGTGATGTCTGCCTGGGACAAGAGCAATCGTTTGGGGGCCCCCGCAGACCACGTGTCTGTCAACTCCATCTCTCAACAAACCATTATAAATTAGCAAAACGCGTACAGATTCACGAATGAAAGATAACGTATGAACTGCTCCTAGGGTGAACGCTGAAGGGGAAAAATGTTTTCTGTAGTCGGAAACCTTATGCCAAAATGGATTAAGGCATCAAATCTGGAGGAAAAGAACGCTGACCTCAGTCAGGAAACGCAAATTCTCGTCTAGCTGTGAGGCCGTGAGCAGGTCAGTTCAGTGGGCCTCAAGGTGCTCAGCTTTAAAATAAGGGTTAAACCACACATCTCTCACTCATACTCTGTTTCGACTGATCAATGGTACGAGCAGCCCCAAACCGCCCCTCTGCTGGGGCACTAGGGAGCTGATGAAAGAACTCTACTACGAAGGCTCACCAGGCCCAGAACAGAACTAAAAACCTCTCCATCTCTCACACGGCTTGTGTGGGATTTACCATCTATTTTCATCTGTAGCATCTCCAGGACAAGAAGTTCCATACACCTCAGAGTTATTTTCCTTAATACAACCTCTTCTCCAGCTTGGAGCAAGGGGAAGGGTCGGGAGCAGGGACGTTTATTTCAATACACTATTAAATTCGGCGAACAAGCACACTGCCTTCATTCAAAAGTCAAGTGCCATCGCCTCGATTAGAAACCAGTCACTTCCCCTGGAGTCCCGGTCATTCATGGTTTTGTGAGCAGCCTAAGTTTTCCTGCCACCGAAAAGTCTCCATAGCTCTAGCCTATTCCAAAAACATTACCCACGTGATACACCAACACAGCTTCCGTGTCCAAACACCAAAAAGCAAGACTTTCTACCAGGAGTCCAACCAGAAATAAGTCACACATACGCCTACTGATCAGACCCCACCCAATCCCAGGGTAAACTCATGGAAGGGTGACCTACAGTGCCCCTGGGAAAACAAAGAGCCTCAAACAGGACAGCCAGATAGGGCAGTGTTGTCTGCGTGGGGCTGGAACAGGCTCGCGCCTGGCTATGGCAATGAAATAATTTTTATTTGCCCTGCACCCCCTCCTTTTGGGAACTGCCTCTCCAACTCCAAGGAGCCCCACTTCCTGTGCTTCGGGTGATCTGTAACAGTCAATCAGAGAATCTCGCTCCTGGACTCACGGCCTGTTTAGATAGGAGCCACCTACCAAGCAGGGCTCAAATCCCTTTTCAGGGTCTGGTGTGACAGCAGGAGATCACCTGCTACAAGAACCAGGCAAATCTACAACTGCCAGGCCGTCTTGTCCACCCTCACAGGCGTCAGGCCAACACAGGAAAGCAGGCCTAGAGACAACAGGAGAGGGACAGTCCCCATACCAACTGGGTGCCCGGATCCTCAAGACCCAACTGGGTTTCTATCCATGGCAGCCCAGAGTTTGGGGGACAACCCGTGCGGGCTAAGGGTTCGTGTCAGAGGTTCAAGTTCTCTTTAATGCCCCCCAGCACAAATCACTTCTCCCTGAATCTCAGACTTAGCTGCTAGAGTTCTACCTCAAACCGAAGTGTATTAAATACTGTTGAGAAACTCAAAGAAAAAATTTTGCTCGCCGGATAAACCATCAGTGCTCATCTGCATCCAAGACAGAGGGGGGGAAAGGACCACAGAAAAGAGGGAAAAGATGATGGATAACTGGAGGGGGCGAGAGCAGCTCCCTATCAATAACTGTGAGAACCACCGTTTCCAGAGCAGTTGCACAGTGTAATGAAGAAAGTTGATTCCAAACACATATTCTAATTCTTTATCAGCAAGGGAAAAAAATACACAACAACCCGAAGCACCCAAACAAAAGGAACTTGTCAGTAAACAGACTGTTGCCAGGCTTACGAGCCTAATTGTTGTCGTTATTTTTAGGCTCTAGTTTAGTCTTCCCTTCACAGCTGTCCCAGGGTCTAGGCCACAGACCTGCCTGCTGACGGAGGCCTTGAGGAGTAAGTTCCATGGAGCGTGTTCAGAACAATCTCCCTCAGGGGCGCCTGGGTGGCTCAGTCGTTGAGCATCCGACTTCAGCTCAGGTCATGATCTCACAGTTTGTGAGTTTGAGCCCCGTGTCAGGCTCTGTGCTGACAGCTCAGAGCCTGCTTTGGATTCTGTGTCTCCTTCTCTCTCTATGCCTCCCCCACTCATGCTCTGTCTCTCTCTCTCTCTCTCTCTCAAAAACAAATAAATAAACATTAAAAAAATTTTTAATAAAAAAAAAAAGAACAAGCTCCCTCGAGTGCAGTCTACAGTAATTAAAGAGTAGAGAATAGTCTGACAAACACTACTCTCACGATGTTCTTCCAGTGACCACAGGGGAAGACAGTACAAGCAACATAAACAGCATCAGTGGCTGAACATTCAGACCACCAGTCCTTAACCTTCTAGGGGTCATGGATGCTTCCAAATCTGATGCAAGCTAGGAAGTCTTCCCCAGAGGGGGGAAAAAAAAAAACATACACACAACACAACATCTTGCATATGATTTTAAGGAGTTCACAAAAGCTGCTCCCCACACCAGGTCTCCAGGTTAAATGTACCTGACTTAAACCTTCTTAAAAAAGGAATTACCCAAGCACCATGATGAATCCTCAAAGATTCAGAGGACTATGAAATAGCTCATAGAGAAATTCCAAATCTGTAACCCCAGGCTGAATCAAGAACAAACAAACCCCCCCCCCCCAAAAAAAAAAAGAAAAAAGAAAGCCTTACCTTCACCTTCTGCATTTCTGAAATGTAAGAAAACTCAGCTTTTTCTCTATTAGCTCCCTTTTTGACATGTCTCCCTTACCTTGTTTGACCATTTATATGCTTGAAGGAGTTGGCTATAGAGAGGAGTTTTGTCCTGCACAGGATCCAGGCTTAACAGCCCACTGTTATGGAGAGGATGGTTCTCAGATGGCTTGCCTACCAAATTGCTCAGACGCTCCAGCTCACTGGAAAAGAAAGAGATAAAGTAAATAAACCTGACTCCACTGAAGTGAAGTCAAGTCTTAGCCAACCACATTGGTTAAAAAAAAAAAAAAAAAAAAAATTTAAGAAGTCTCTTAAGAGGAAATACTGTGAAAGGTTAACATCAGGGACAATTAAGAAAACTCCTAACTGGGAGCTTGTCTTCTATTAAAACCGAGCTACAGATCATTCGAGTACCTGAATAAATGGTAATTATTTATCATTCACGTAGGAAGAGACTAGTACGTGGTACTTCACAGATGGTGAAACTTAACAAAACAAAGAAGAGATAAAATAAACAAATGGAACGGGAAGACACCACCGAGGGGGCTGTGTCAAACACTTTGGTCTAGCAGGAAAACTCGAGAGAAGCCTGGGAAAGTGAGCCAACAGCAAAAGCACATTCCAGGAGCACATTCTGTGAGGCCAGTCTCAAACTGTTCAACAAAAGACTCTCTAGGAACAGCTTCTCATGCCACACTCATTTTGGAATGTTCAGCCACCTTCTTGGCACCACCGTGTAAAGATTTTAAAAGGCGACAGAACGCAAATGTTCTTGAACTTTCTAGAACGGTGAAGGGTTATAAGATCCCGAACATTACCAAAGGAAGCAGATCAGAGAGGAAACGCAAGAGACATAAGAACAGCCAGGGGGCACCTGGGTGGCTCAGTCGGTGAAGCGTCCGACCTCAGCTCGGGTCACGATCTCACAGTTTGTCAGTTGGAGCCCCGCATCGGGCTCTGTGCTGATGGCTCGGAGCCTGGAGCCTGCTTCCGATTCCGTGTCTCCCTCTCTCTCTGCCCCTCCCCCGCTCACACTCTGTCTCTCCTTCAAAAATAAACATTAAAAATTAAAAAAAAAAAAAAGAAGAAGAAGAAGAACAGCCAGTGCAACCCCTCAAGCAGGGGAACTATTAACTGGCACTGCGCCAGAGACAGCAAGTGGATGTGGGAGTTGAGGAGGGGTGTGTGATTTCCTGGCTTCCCACCAAAAAAGAATGCCAACTGCTTAAGGGGGAAAAAAAAAAATCAAAAGAGGCACCCATCATTTGGTCACCACCTCCTCCTCCATTCTACCTCCTCCTTCCAGCTGGTTACTAAGGAAACCAAGTTGGGGGGGGGGGGGGGGGGGGGAATCCAGCCATTCCAGAAATTGTAGGATGACTATCTTACCAAATGCCTTTCCCTGCTAAGGTCAGTTCTGAGAAGCAAAAGTCCTGTAAGTCTCTGAGAAGGGTCACTCTCTTAAGGAAGGGAGGACAAGTTCAGGACCTAACCATTTAAAGGGTTCCTACTGTGTGCTGGGCTTTTCACAATCACCCTTTCACTCAATTCTTCCACAACACTTAGAAAATAGAAGAAAGTGACTTGTAAGAAAGAGAAAGAAACATACAATCCTTAACCCTACAGGGCCACGAATTAATACGGGGGGGAGGGGAGTTAAACATAGGTGACTGAGCTGGTGTAGGCTGAGATCAGGTCTCTCCAGAGGAAGAAACTGACCAGGAGCAGAGTGGGAAGGAAGTCCTGATCAGGTGGTTTGGGAGGGGGCGGGGGCGCGGGAAAGGTACAGATCAAGGCCTGTTTTATCGTGTTTGGAAGTGGACTAGAGTGGACCTGATGGCTTCCAGGTTCAGGGGCGAGGCACTGGTGCTAATCAGACCGAGCGCACTTGGGTTTGGGGCAGCGCTGAGCTGGTCCCGTTTTGGCAGTACTTGATCAGACACGGTGGGGCACAGAGGGCCTACAGGTGAGAAACCTGCGAAGCGGAGGTGAGAAGTGGAAGTTCGTGGGAAGAGCACGTCTCCTCGTCAGGAACCGAACGACCACACGGGAGGTCCAGGGCGGCGGGAGGCAGCCAGGAATAGGAGGCCAAGAGAAGGGAGACGAGAAAGCGGGGGTGGGGGACGAGGTGTCCCTGAGGAACAGGCATGGGCTTGGAGGGGAGGGAAAGACAGCAAGGGAGCAAGAAACTGAGAGCAGCCCCAGGTTAGAAAGACTCGCGCGGGGTCGAGACAGGGTGGACACCGGGCGGGGTCCCCGGCGCCGGCCCCTTCAGCCGGTACCTACTTGAGGTCCCGGTTGACCGAATGCAAGTTGTCCTGGAAGTGCGCAATGAAGGCCTTCTCCCGGCCCTCCAGCGTCTCCTTGTTCCGCATGCCATCCTTCAGGCAGTCGAACACCCTGCTCACGCTGGAACGCAACGCCTGGATGGCACTGATGGCCTGAGCAAAGGCCTCCAGGTTCACTCCGACACTTAGCACGTCCGCCATGTTGCCGCCGCCGCAGCGGGCTCTCCAAAGCCGGCTTCGTGAGCGAAAGGCCGCGCTCGCTGATGACGCCGGCCCTCGAAGGCCTCTGGGAAATGTAGTTCTCGCGGGGCGAGGCTGCCCAGGTGGTCAGTGCAGGCTTACGTTGTCGGAAAGAGGGTTTCCGTTCAAGTGAACAGATGAGTGGGCAGGAAAGTGAGCGCCTAGATGTGTGGAAGTCAGGCTGCACCCTCGGCTTTCTTAACGGTGACAAGGAAATACAGAAGGTTCCGGCGTTTACCCAATCTTGCGCCCGTGGGAATCACAGGGAGAAGAATTGCTCAGAGCAATAGTGTGCACGGAGTGAAGGATCATGACCCACTGGGTAAAATGAGTCCATATTCTTAAATAAATGAGGGGGAACGGAAATTTCTTCTCTACAGTAGAATACCAACTGATAGAAGTAGAAGAAAGGATGGGGGAAAGTACCATTTAGCAACCATTAGAATAATAATTGATTCAGGTAGGAATCAAGGAATGCTAAACCTGGATGCTTGCACAGCCTCCAAGTATCATCACACCAGACACCTGTTAATTAAGGGTAAAATAATGATCCAGCAATTTCACTGGTTATATACTCAAATTTCTGGTTATATACTCAAGAGAAGGCAAAGTGGGGACCGGAACAGATATTTGTGCTCTCAAGTTCATAGCAGCATGATTCACAATCCCCGAAAGGCTGAAGCAACCCAAGGGAACATCGTGGGATAAGTTCATGAACAACATGTGATATATACGTACAAGGGAATATTTATTCAGCCTTAAAAAGAAAGGATATTCTGACAACCTGGTAAACCTTGAAGACATTATGATGAGTGAAATAAGCAGTCAGAAAAAGATAAGTCTTGTATGATGAGATATCTAGAACAGGCAAATTCATAGACAGGGAGTAGAATTGTGGGTGCCAGGGTCTGGAGGAAGGGGAGAATGAAGAGTTAGTGTTCAATCAACAGAGAGTTTCAGTTCCGGAAGACGAAAAAAGCTCCGTGGAGAGTGGTGATGGTTTCTCAACAGCGTGAATGCGCTTAATGCTGCAGAACTGGACACTTAAAATGGTTAAATGTACATTTTACGTTATGCATATTTTACCATAATTCTTGTTTTTTATTTTTTTTTTAATTTTTTATGTTTATTTTATTTTTGAGAGAGAGAGAAACAGATCACGAGTGGGGGAGGGAGAGAGAGAGAGAGAGAGAGAGAGAGACAGGATCCGAAGCAGGCTCCAGGCTATGAGTTGTCAGCACAGAGCCCGACGCAGGACTTGAACTCACAGACTGTGAGGTCATGACCTGAGCCAAAATGGGCTCTCAACAGATGAGCCTCCCAGGCCCCCCTAATTCTTGTATTTTAATTCTGTAATGCAAAAGAGAAGGGTAATACTGACTTCACAGTGGAGCAGCCTGGCACATACTACCCTAGCAAGAGACGAGCACTACATCCCCAAACCATCTCCTGATACAATGCCCAGAGAAAAGTGCAACACGAATTCTGGGATATTCCTGCCAAAAATGCACCACCAGAATCTGATCAGGACATCAGACACACTCAGAGACATTTGACAAAATCATCGTGAAATTGTGGAGTTCACCTCAAACCCACTTCCTGAGTAGTTCCCCCACTCTTCCTTCTCCAAGCTCGCTCCCCCACCCCCCAGTCCCCCCTACACCACCTTCATAGTGTTGCCATTGGCAGCTTTTCCTAAGGCGAAGGGGTAAGAGATAGGAGAAACTTCCAGCTGTGGAACCCTGAACAAGTTCCTGAACTCCCGGATCCTCAGTTTTCTCATCTGTAAAATAGAACTACAAATAACACCTAAGTTTAGAAAATAGCTGTGAGGTTTAATAACACCTTGAAGGCAAAGCTTTTGAAATAATGCTTGGCAAGTAATAAATACTCAGAAGATTGTAGCTGCCAGGGGAATGCTGGGAAAGTGTCCCGTGGGTCTGTGACCTGTGCTTCTATCCCCACTCGAGGACTTAGTACAGAATCAAAAGCGAGAACAATGGATCTATTGGGTCCAATGATCTCTAGTGACATTCCCCTGTTGCTAACAGCTTGTCAATTAACTGTGTCCTATAATCCATTATTTCTCTGTGGCCTTTTTATCTCCTTGGGCATATAGGGTTTGGATTTGTGTGTGTGTGTGTGTGTTTTTTAAGATTTTCGTAGCAAATACTTTTTAACTTCATAAAAACGAAAGAAAACATCTGTGTTTGTGGGCCTCTTTTGGTGTTGATCCCTTCTAGGGAAAGATTAGAGAAGTCAAACTCCATTATCATGGTTATTCACCTTATTGGGTCCCCTGAAGGGACCCTGGCTGTATACTCTGTTCCCGAGGGAAAAAATGTACTAGTCTATTTCTTTTTTCTTTTTTTTTTTTTAATTTTTTAAATGTTTATTTATTTTTGAGAGGGGAGGGAGACAGAACATGAGTGGGGGAGAGGCAGAGAGAGAGGGAGACACAGAATCCAAAGTAGGCTCCAGGCTCTGAGCCTGACTCAGGGTTCAAACCCACACACCATGACCTGAGTTGAAGTCAGACGCTAACTGACTGAGCCACCCAGATGCCCCTGTACCAGTCTATTTCTGCCCATGCTCTATGTACCCACAAACTGGAGATTTTGCATACAATTTTAGGGGGTTCATAGCCCCCCTAAAGCCCAAAGATGGACCTCTGGGTAGAATCATGCTCTAAAGCAAGCACTATGGAGGTATGGCCCAGGGCTATCCTGTAACCACCAGATCTCCAGTGCCTGGAGCATAAAAGACTCAATGTAAGTTTGCGGAAGCAATGAGTTAACACAATATATTATGTTTGCCTTCTTGGATCCTCCCTCCAAATTACTTCATTTCTTTGTATACTCAGATATCATTTCTCCCTCCTTCTCAGCCCACCTCCCCCACCCACCCTCTCCCTCCCCACTCCCCACACAATAAGATTTTCCTCTGTCTTATTCTCTGATTCAGTGGTTAAGATACTGATTGGAACAATAAAGTACAAATATGCTCCGCTCCCACAGTCATTCGTTTTCAAGATTTCTCTCTGGCTCCCCTCTTCTGGGAAACTCAGAAAATGATCAGTGGAAATACACATTTCCCCTGAACCTAGTAAGGAGACTTTCATCACAGCAACAGAAAACTTTTCATTTTGGAAGGGAATGGACAGAGTTTCTCTAAGGTGCCATAAATTCTAGAGAATGGTGGCACATATAGGCTTGCATCTGTGTGTGTTTGTGGGATATAAATTAGTTTAAAAGGAGTTCATTTTGAGCAATATCAGATTTTAATTATTGTGATCTTATGTTTGGGTAAAAGGCAGCACCCTGCTGCTAATATCTTCCAAAATGAACAAGCCATTAGCTTGGTGCTATCAGCTCAAGAGTATTAGAATGAGCAATCAGAATTAAAGTTGTCAGTATTTAATTAAAATATGCAGCAACTCCCATCATATTCAGAGAGCATGTGGTTTAAGCATTCAGACTGAGAAAGCACCCTCATCAATTAATAATTATTAAGGATTTGCTAGATGCAGAACACTGCATTGGACGGTTGGGCAGAATGTCACCAGATAGATTTAAACCCAAATCTGCCTTGGATAAGCCGCAACGTAACTAAGCCACCTGCCGTAATCAGTGTGGCATAATGCTTAAGACCTTGGGGGTTGATCCGAGGATTAAATTGAGGCAGCGCACAGTTCTGGGAACATGGTAGGCATTCAAGTCGGTCGTTCAACAAATATAGATATCTGATGTCTCGACATTTTGTTAAACAGCTGGGGAGCCAGTGGTAAAACCAGGCCCCGTCTGGTCTAGTAAATGTCCCTGAAAATATCTGAAGTGGGTTGTGTGTTTCTCCACATTCACCTGTTTAAGGCTCAGTGCATCAGTTATCTGTAGAGTGCTTAGCATCAGGTTTATTAAAATTAATCTAAAACAAGTATGGTCAAGAATCTTCTCGCGGTCTCTTCTGAACCCAGCCTCACTCCTGTTTTCCTCTTATGTTGCCTGCTGTGATTCTGACATGATGATGATGAGCAAATGGTCTGCAAGGACACAGAGGATCCTGGAGAGGAGGAAATCAGCCTGGACTTGTGTCTCTCAGGCACATGAGTTAACCCTTCTGGACCTCAGACCTTGCATCTAGAGGATAAGGAAGGGGCATCACCTCCAGAACTGACAACCCGGGAGCATAAGATAGGAGGAACATGTCAGGAGTTCAGGAAGCAGGAAAAGGAGAGGACCGCTCCTCGTTAATGCCGATCACAACCACCGTACCTGGATTCCCGCACTCTGATTCATTCTCTTGCCCAGCGACACTCACCGAACAGAAGGATTGAATAAGGATCCAAATGGAACCTGGTTCTGCTCTCATAGCGCTCGCTCACAGCCTCGCAAGGGAGTCAGACACAAATGGAACATGAGACACGGTGAGGTTCAACTGCAGGATAAGAGACCTGCACGGAGCATTTTGAGGTTCTTAGAGAGGGCAGTCACAGCATCTTTCTGCACAGGGGAGGCCCGGGCCAAGCCTTCCGAGGAGAATTGGGGCTAACCAGGTGCGGTGGGGGACAGAGGTAGGGGAGTACAGTTTGAGGGGAGGTCGTGCTGGGATTGATCTGTGTTTGTAAAAGTCGGCTCTCTCGCTATGGAGAAGGTGAACAGAAGCGTCCAAGCTTCGAGGCACAAACACCAGAAAGGCAGGGGTACCTCCACCTGCAGGACGGCAACAATGGACCACACGGGAGCCATATTCTTCCCATCACAGGAAGCCAGGAGGTATTTTAAATATTTCAGTAAATTATTGATTGCCCGTTTGGATGCTCACTTAATCAACCACCAAGCCTGTTGTTAGAGACCTCCGCTTTCGCCCGTGTTCAGACGTAATTAAGTACAAAACGTCTCAGGGATGGACCCTTTTACCAACACATTAGGCTAAATCAAACTGGAGCAAAACGCAAGCTGTTTGTGCAGGCTCAGCCACAGCCCATTTGCGGGA